AAATAAGTTGTATACTGTGTATTGCTTATGAACTTGGTTTTTGGTTCGGAGAAATTACCAGCGAATGTAAAACTGACAGGAACAACAAAAATTAAAAAATAAAGTTCGTTTTTGTCAACTACACATTAATCCGATTAGGTAGAAAGCTGTTTGCAAAAAACAAAATCTACAATTCTAGAACAGGCATAATTAGGTAGAAAGCTGTTTGCAAAAAAAAAATCTACAGTTCTAGAACAGACAGAACATGCAAAATAGTCCGTCTTTAAAATAAAACTGTGAAAAGGCCAAAAATATTAAAAAAAAATAGGTCGTGCTTCTCATTTAACCGAAAAAATATATTTAATAGACTTAAATTTATAGAAAAAAAATATTTAACCGAAAATTATATTTATTCTGATAAATATGAGTATTATTAACATGAAATAAATAATTGCAAATTATACAAACATCTAATAGTTTCTAAATTCATAAATTTGTCAATTTTTAATATATTTATTCTGATAAATATGAGTATTATTTATATCAACGAAACTATTTTATAAACTATATTTGAAATATTAAAAAAAAATGAAACAAAAACAATAAATTTTATTGGAAACTACTCAATCTTTGTCTAATCAAAGAAATAAATTCATATGAACCTACATGTAGCTGTGTCACAAGACCTAAATTAGGAGAACATTTCTATACAAAAAAACAAAACTGCAGACCCATTGTATATTGGCTTCTTCAAATCAAAACTGAGGATTGGCCGTTTTTGAACCACTGAAATTTCTGTGTTTGGATTTGGTGTGGTAAAAACTGATCTTTACATCTAAATTTTTTTTGCTTAATAATCCAACGGGTACGACTCTCGTGGTTTCAGTTATCTCTTTTCTCTTACCCCTAAACTGTTCATTTACATCGACTTACTCGTGCCCTTAAAAAACAGAGCTTCTTTCTTTATACAATAAAAGTAACAATTTTATTTTTCTTTTATGTTTACCGATAATAATTTTAGATATAAAAATATACTGCGTCCGCACGGGTATAATACTAGTTCACATATAAAACGAAATACGTTTATTCAAAAAAATAAAACAAACTTTGATAAAGATAAGGGAAAACTAAAATTCGATAAAGAGAAAACGTTTATATGAAGGAAAATACACAGTAAATAAGGAAATAGAAGTTTGTTCCCTTTCATATAATTTTCCATTATAGAAAAGGAAATGGGGAACTTTTTCTTATGTTTCTTATAAGAATGACGAAGCATTGTAAGTTGTGACATGATTCAAAGGCCACCTTCTTACACGAATTAGATCAAAGCCCTTATGAAAGTAAACATGTTCGATAACTCTTCTTCACACCGTCTCGTCGGAAAATTCTTCACGAACTCAACTCCGCCGTCTTTCGAAGAAACAGAAAAATCCCTCCGGCAACAATGGAATCTCTCCGGCGACATGATTGTCCAAAAGCAAGGCGACAACGATACGTTCTTGTTCGAATTCAGACAAAAGAATGACAAAGTGAGAGTTCTTGACAACTTACCTTTCAACGTCAATGGAGTTATCTTAGTAATCAAGGATCCAAATTCTTCCAGCATGATTGATTTCACTGTGGCTACCTTAGTTGTCTTCGTTGTGGGTTTACCATGGTGTCTTTCAACAAAGGAATACCTCCCGACTCTCGAATCTCTAATCGGCGGCAACGCAACTGATATAACATTCACCGACGGCTTATTTTGTTTCTTCGTGGAAGTTGATCTCAAGAAACCACTGAAAGCAGGATTTTACATAGAAGAAAACCAGTTCGTGGAGTTCAAATACAGTCAATTGGGAGATTTCTGCTACAAGTGTGGAATGATTGATCACGTGGAGACAAGCTGCGATAGGGTTAGGGTTCATAAGGAACGTGCCTTGAATGCCACGTCAAGAACGCACGTCTATGGTCCTTGGTTAAGAGATTCTTTCTCTGAAAAGTGTTTCGAATTGGTCCTGAATAAATCACAGAATGGTGCTCGTGAGTGCGAGAAGTCTCTCTCGTATGCTCAATTCTTCATAGAGCTCGAGTTTAACAATGTCTTTATCTGCAACCCTAAATTCGAGTCGAGAACAAAATCCACTCACAGATTTCGTTTCCCCTGTTCTTACCTAGACACAGAAACAGAACACACGGATTTTACTACTTCGAAGGCGTACAAGGTCATACGGGATGAGATCTACGAGAATACGCCTTTCTCTGACCTTGCCGAGTTTTTTGGCAACCGTGGCGAAATCGGAAGTCTTGTGGAGCAGTTGAAACTAACCAAGAAGAATGAGTTTTGTTGTGATGATATGTGGTTGGTTCTTAATCTTCAAATCAACAGAACAACTATGTTAATGCCTGCTGATCGCTGATTACGAGACAAGGCTCGCGATCAGTGAGGACATTGAGTGTGAGCGATTGATCAAGAGTAAGATCTTGGATTTGATCAAGAAGAGGGTGGAGAAGAAGGAGGATTTGCTCTCATTGCCTTCCTGGGAAAATCAAATCTGAGAAACGATCTCGGAGATGGGTTTACCTCATTATATGCCTATTGTGTCTAGAAGAGCGATTGAGGCGATGAGGGAGGCAGTTGAGATGAAGATTTCTGCTACAAGTGTGGAATGATTGATCACGTGGAGACAAGCTGCGATAGGGTTAGGGTTCATAAGCTGCGATAGAAAAAAATTCAAGCTTTCTATAAAAAAGATACAAAACCTTCTTTTCAACACAAGATTTGTTTTTATCTTTTCAATTTTTTGTTCTCTTTTAAGTTTCTCTATGTAATAATGATGTTACTTTACCTAGAGCTTCTTCAGATAAAAAATCTGANCCAAAGCTCTTCTCGTGACAACGTAAACAAGAAGCAAAGAGAGGTGGATTCATACTATGTTCACAGTTCATGACGAATAAAGGTTTTATGTTTCTATTTCTTTTGATGAATCATCTTTATACCATTTTATTGTCATTGAAACACCATCGTTTTGAAATTATACTTAGTATCCGAAATGTTAGTTTGAGGATTCGTAAAAAGAAATAGTTTTATTTTATTTTATTTTGTAATTTCCTCTCCTGTTGGTCTAAACCGTCTTTGAAATTATACTTAGTATACGAAATGTTAGTTTGAGAATTTTGTTTGAGCATAATCACATTCTCTCTATTGTAGCAAGTTTCTTGTTTTGTTTGTTATGCAAATACTCAATTTGTGTTAATAGCCAAAACAGAGAACTATGTTCTTTCGAGCTTAATTCCCATATGTTATATATACTATCCAATCAACTAAATCAACTTTTTCATCCTTTTTTAGGTCGCACATTTACGGTGAAGAACATTGATTAAGGTTCTTAAGGCATACGGGTATTCCTAAGATTTTTTTTTTGTTTTTCCTTCTTTCACCAATCTTTGAATATTTTAGAATGTTAGATTAATCATCAAATTTGATCGCTAAAATGCGTAATTGTGAAAACTACCGAATTTTGGTATCCCGTCTTTTGCTTAGTTCAATTAATCGTTAGAGGTATCATAAGTTCAACTTGTTTTCACATTTACGTTTAGCATGTTTTCACATTTACGTTTAGCATTAATTTGATGGTCAAAATATATTAAGATTTTTTCTTCTTTCACCAATCTTTGTATATTTTAGATTGTTAGATTAATCATCAAACTTGATTGCTAAAATGTGTGAAAACCAACCAAATTTTGGTATCCCGTCTTTTGATTAGTTCAATCGATCGTTAGAGGTATCATAAGTTCAATTTATTTTCACATTTACGTTTAGCATTAAGTTTTTGATTATTTTAATTGTCTAAATTTTAAGATTTTTTCTTCCTTTACCAATCTTTGTATATTTCACCTCTCTTATATGGCTTCTAAGTTTGTAATCTCGCTTTAGCAAAAA